CTCCTCCTCCGGGGCCAACGCCCCCTCTCGCAGTGCGCACGGCACGCCACAGAGCTGTGGGAGGGGAGCAGACAGCATGGGGCCCTTTTAGGCGTGGGGCCTGATTCGGGGGAATCGGTCGAATCGGCCTAAAGCCGGCCCTGTAAACAATGGCGATGCAACATAAGAGCAGCCAGACTGGGTCAGACCAAAAGTCCATCTAGCCCAGCGGCCTGTCTGCCGATGGTGGCCAGCGCCAGGCTCCCCCGAAGCTGGAGCTGGAGCCGTCTAGATGGCAGTGAAAGCACCAGAGCCCAAATCAGCTGGCACGGGCCAGCCCTGGGTTTTGAGTGCAGTGTGAACTAAGGGCCACGCGCTGCTGTACATGACGCCTCTTGAGCTCCTGCTGTCATTGGCATGTAGGATGTTCATGGGGGTGGGCCTGGAAGGAGGGGGCACCCCTTTTAACAGCAATGGATATCCTTGTGTTGGGATAAAGTGAAAGCACCAGAGCCCAAATCAGCTGGCACGGGCCAGCCCTGGGTTTTGAGTGCAGTGTGAACTAAGGGCCACGCGCTGCTGTACATGACGCCTCTTGAGCTCCTGCTGTCATTGGCATGTAGGATGTTCATGGGGGTGGGCCTGGAAGGAGGGGGCACCCCTTTTAACAGCAATGGATATCCTTGTGTTGGGATAAAGGCTCTCCTTCCCTGCAGCCCAGCTGCTCTTTGACTGTGGCCTACAGCCAGGTCTGACCTGTCAGGCCAGTCCTGTGACTGGACACACCACCTGTAAATTCACTCCCAGGACTTTTGTAGGAAGTGAACCTGCCCCGGTGATGTAGCAGTGCCCGTGCAAGCCCAGTGCGTGGAAGTGTTGCACCAGCATGAAGTGGGATTTAGATTTAGAATCTAGGGATGTTAAATTTAGATTAATTAACTAATCAAATAGTCGAAGGGATTTCCATTGACTATTCAATTAGTCGATCAGGTCACCTCTGTCTTTGAACTGTAGCAGGGCTCCTGTTACATTTCAAAAGCAGAAGCCCCGCAGGAAGCATGGGACCAACAGAAGACTCCCCCGCTGGTCCTGTGCCCCCTGTAGCTCCTCAGCTTTTGAAATGTACAAGAGCTCTAGAGGGGCTCTTGTACATTTCAAAAGTAGAATCACAGCGGAACTGGCGTGAATGGAGACTGTTTCAGTCCCCACTCATGCCATTTCCCGCTGTGCTTCTACCTCCCCTTCTTACCCCCATGGAGATGGTTCTGGGGGAAACTGGTTTTTAAGCCAGCTCCCCCCAGCACCGTGTCTTTCCCCACCATATCCCTTGCTGCCTGTATTTGATAGAGTATTTGCTTATTGTGTAGTCGACTAGTAGCTTACATCCTTAGTCCCCACCAAGATTTGTTGGGCCTGTCCAAACAGAGCCTAATCCCACAAAGTTCCCTCCTGTCCCTGTTCAGGTGTTAAAGAACGTATCTGCACTACAAAAATCAAGTTGTCTTAACTACATCTCTCAAAGCTGTGAAAAATGTCACACCTTATACAATGTAATTAAGCCAACCTGTGCTTTGGTCAATGGAAAAATACTTCTGTCAGCCTAGCTAGCGTTTCTCAAATTCAGGCTTCTGGGGGTTTCTCTACATTATACAACCACTTCCTGGAGGGTGGGGCTGGGGGTGCAAAACATCAGTCCCTCACTGGTGGTTACTCTTGGATGTGGTATCCTGAACCACCTCTGTAGACAGGTAGGCACGCTACCTAAAGAGCAAGGTGAGTATTTTACCTGGGTGGGGGTGAGAGCTGGGGTTGATAGTGGGGCTTGGGCTTCTGTCTGAGATGATTAGGTGGTGGGGACTAGGGAGCATGGCTGTGGCTCCAGCCATGGACTATGGACACCAACCCCCAGCTCTGGCTACAGGGTTTCAGATCCTGACCTACCAACTTTGGTCACGTGGTCTGGGGCTTCATGCGCCAACCTCTGGCCATGTGGCATTGACCTTGGAGCTGGGAAACCCACCCACCCTGGTTCAGTGTCTGGCAGCAGACACCAGCCTTGATTCAGCTGGCTTCGGCCTCTAGCCCAAGCTATGTGGCAGCAGCTGCTGACCCCAGGCACCAGTTTCTGACCACACAATCCAACCCCTAGACCCTGACCAAGGTGTTGGCCCTGGATGCTGACCCTGAGCTCTGGCAGGTATGGGCCCAGAGTGCTGACTCAGTCCTGACCATGTGGTAGCAGGGTTCAGCATCCATTGTCCCAGCCTCTGCTGCCTCATCCCACTCCTCCAGCTAAGTCTTAATTTGCCAAGACTTGCTGTGTGATATTAAAACAGATGCAGGTATTGCTTTTCGTAGTATTATTTTCATTGTCAAGCCTCCAAAAATCCCTACACAAATTACAGTGATTTTTGACATGTATACATAGAAAAAGTGACTGTGCAGCCACCAACCAAGAGTTGGTGGTCCTACTCTGAGGCCACCAAAAATGTGTGGTGAGAACCCCTGAGCTTTGAAATCCGCCTCTTAGAAAGCTGGATTTATTTTAGTGTCTGCACTGAAGTGGTGCAGCTGCGCTGCTGTAATATGTCAAGTATAGACATATTTAAAGACAATGGCTGGACCAACAGTTGCTCACAAGTGGCAGGGAGTACTTTGTCCTCCCCATTGAACGTTATGGATGGGTAGAAGCAGTCAGTTACTCTGTTTGCAAATGGAGAATCAAGTGTATTACCATTATTAGACTTCTACTTCAGAGTAGAAATGCCTGGTGCATGTGTCCTAGTCTTCTTTTGAGCTGTGCACTCCTTGAGATGTAGGAGCTTTTGAGTTCTTGGGTGTTGGGACAATTGTTTACTGATAATGTGACCTTTATTTTAAACCAATTAGTTTATATTGTTGTGAGTTACAGTTTGTTTATGTTCTGAGTGTATTAGGCTAGAAAGAACATTGAATAAAAATAAAATAGCACAGCAGAATATTCTGAGACTTAAGCCTCTTTCATCAGGTTTTTCTTAAATGTATGCTTATTCTATCATGACAAATTATCCCTCCCTGTTTCTAGTACCTGCTAATAACAAACTTCCTTCCATTCCAATACACAAAATAATTGTTTCTGATTTATTAAAGAGAAGTAATACCAATTTTATAGGTTTTTTTTTTAAATACCTTTTCTCTTCATCAGATGGCTTGCAGCAACTCAGTTTGAGCCACTGGCTGCAAGATCTGCTTTCCCTTGCTTTGATGAACCAGCATTTAAAGCCACTTTTCTAATTAAGATCAGGAGAGATGAACAGTACACTGCTCTGTCAAATATGCCAAAGGTACATTTATGCTCTTCTGTGTATGAATATTAGAGGGTGCATGTGTGTCTCTCCCTTTTAGGTGCTCTGAATTAAAAGTACTTGGAATCACTTTTTGTTTGCCTTCTGGGTACAGTAAAACTCCATTAGTCCGGCATCCAATGCTCCGGGACTCCTGATGGTCCGGCACCATCAGGAACCCGGAAGTGCTGGGGCAGCCGGACAGGCTTCCCCCATTCAGCTTCTGCTGAAACTGACCAGCAGCTGAATCGGGGAAGCCGGGAGCAGAGCAGCTGGGGTGATGCCAGGTTGGTCTCGTAGCGCTGCCCCTCAGGGCTGCGGGACCAACCCGGCAGCATCCCAGCTGCTCTTGGGGACGCCTGGGGCAGACCAGATGGAGTGCTGCCAAGTTG